TTGAATGTTGAAAGACATCAGAAAGATCGTTCATGAAAATTAAGAAAAGTAATGGAGATAAATGCCCTCCTTGAGGAACCCCAGAGGGGATATGGATAATGGAAGAGATAATATTATTTATCTTTACTTGCTGCTGTCTGCCTGTGAGGTATGAAGCTAACCATTTAAGTAGTGGGTCTTTAATGCCAATATGTTTTAATTTATCAATTAATACCTTGTGATTTAATGTATCAAACGCTTTTTTCATATCAGTATAAATTGCATCTACTCGACCACCATTTGCAACAGTGGAAACAATATTAGTATAAAACACAAGCAGGTTAGTAATAGTTGATTTAGAACTACGAAAGCCGTGCTGGCAGTTATTCAGCACGTTTTTAAAACTTAATGATAACTCGGGCTCTAGAAGTTTCTCAAATATTTTCGGCAACACACTTAATTTAGAAATAGGTCTATAATTACCCACATCAGATTTGTCACCTGATTTAAAAATAGGTGTAATATAACTTGATTTCCATCGTACTGGAAAAACACCCGAAGACAATGACAAGGAAAACAAAAAATGGATTGGACGAGTAAGCGGATAACGACAAGAACTAAAAATGATACCAGGGACAAGGTCAGGACCGTAAGTAGTGCCCGTATTTCGTTGCAGTTCTTCAAACAATTTTAGAACCGGGATCTCACATGAGGCTATACTAAACGAGGAGGGTAAAATAATATTTGGATACGTTGATCGGACGGTTTGTTTCGAAACAGAATAATTAGAAGCAAAGAACTCACTAAACATTTCAGACACATTGATCATATTGTCTGACTTTATATTTCCAAAATACATAGAGTTTGGAAGTAAGTTATTATTTCTTTTATCTTTGACAAATTTCCAAAAGTATTTTGGGTTAACAATTAAATTATTTTGAATACGGTTAATATAATCTGAATAACATTTTTTTGATAGGTTTTTACATTTAGATCTAATAGCTGAGAACTCATTATATATTGATTGGTCTTTTTTAATTTTGAAAATCTTGTGAAGTTTATATTTTGAACTTTATANCGATTTTTGTAAAAAAATTCTTTTTTATATTTTTAACTTTATAATGCTATAACTTTTTGAAAGATGTATGCATCAATATAATTCTTTTTTATGTAAATGCATGATGTCTTTACCTATCATTTGGCATATTTTTTTTATAAATCTGACTTTTTACCTGCCTACAGGGGGGGATTCAAAATGACAACTTTTTCACAAAAAATTGACTTTTTCAACTTAAATTTTGAAAGTGTTCCGGAAAGTCTGACACTTTTATATATATATTAAATTAAAGCTAATGTAATCTACTTTATTATGTAAAAAAAAAATTTCGGACTTTATTTTGTCTTCACGGTGAAAATGGCTACCAAATGCTATTATTGTGTGAAAATTCTCAATTTTATTTTTTACATTTTTAACTTTATAATGCTATAACTTATTGAAAAGTGTATTGATCAATATAATTTTTTTATGGGAAATAATATTTTTTAATAATCCCTTTTTCATTCGACATACTTTATCTTAATCAGGATATTAATAAGGAACTAGCAGTTTATGAAGCTTTTGGAATAATCCACCAATTTTTTAAAATTAAACACTATCTAAAGATTTGCATCGAAGCGTTTATTTTTGATAGTGATTTTAATCACTGTCAGATATCATTATACTTGATCCAACTATGCCACGTCACCACTGTGCCGCGACCCCCCTGTGCTGGGTTTTTTTTTTTATCGTTGAAAATATTTTTCATCGTACCATTAGTTACTAAATCAAATAATTCATCTTGTTCCTGTTCAGAGAGATTTTCTATTTTTTCAATATCACAGGAAAATGGATTTCTTATCCACGTATTATTTGGGTCAGGTTGATGAAAATATTTTCTTAATATTTTGGCCATGCTCAACAAGTGTTCAGATATTTTACTCTTTACCTCCTGTGATAAACATTCNCATGTTTTGTCTCAAAATGGCGTCGTAATTTGGAAGGTTTCATACTTTCATTGGACAAGATCTCCAAGCAAATAACACACTGTGGTTTTGGTTCATCTTCAGTCCCAGCAAATGTAAATCCTAATTGTAAATATTCAGTGTTATACTTTCTCACTTTAGTTCCTACAGTACTCTTCCAGTTTACATTACGGCGATTTGAGTCAGAGCTAGATGTACTATGTTGATCAGTACACTAAAATAAATTTATTATTGAAATATTATTAATAAAAATACAGATAAACTGTAAAATTATAAAATATAATTTGTGCAATACATAATATGCACGCATTTAACGACATATTAATAAGTAGAAAAGTTCTTTTGATAAATAAATGAATGAGTTATTTACCTGAACTTCATTCACATCATTCACAGAATTATCTGCTTCTATTTCACATGTAGGCCTTTTAAGTGAACCAGATTTTAACCATTGATACATTATGGTTGGTTTATTTTGAAATGAAATGTATAAAAAAGGACACACGGTACTAATCGCTGACCAGTTATGACTGAGAAGAAAATAATCAGTATGGTTTCACGTTCTGAATTATAGTAATAACAGTGTAATAATGAAGATAATAATGATATTTATTTCTATGAAATTGATTATTTATTTTTTTCGCGATAATCAAGTTTCAATAGTCTATAAATACTCGGAATTTCATATTACTACAAAGTTAATAATTTCCTAAAATAAAATAAATATATCACAACAAAACAACATAACCGCGGACCCCTGGGGGTCCGCGGACCACCAATTGGGAACCGCTGCTATAGAATATTAATAACTTCCGATGTACTGATTTAAAAGTTATTATCAACTAGCCTTTTTCTTAATTATATAATTTTCTAACGTTTATCTGTTAATATCTGTATGCTGTAATCAAAAAAAATAAAATTGATAACTTCATAAGATAAAAGGGAAAAATCGAAAAAGTTGTTGATAACTGATAAATTGCAAATAAATAATTCTAAACAAAGTCTTAAGAAATTTAAAATTATTATTACTATAGGAAAATTTTAGTGTTATTTCTTCAAACATTTTCGAATTAATTCGAATTAATGCAACATTTATATCAATTTTTACAATAACATAATTTATATTTTATTTTCGCTAATGTCGATTTTAAAAATTGCCAAAACTTGATGCAGTAATACCAAATTCAAATATCTTTAGCAAATAGATCACGTTTAAAATTTAATATTAATTATAGACATTTTCGAATTTAGATTTTGTGGTTTATTAGAAGAAATGGTAGCCTTCTTTTAATAACACTGTTATCAATTTTAAGCTTAATTATCAAATATTGTACAAAAACAAATAGAGCATATAACAGAAAATAAATAATGTAATTTAATTTATTCTGTATTAATTTATCTAAAACATAAAAAGATGGCTGGGTCTATTTAACATATCACATTTTTTAATTATTTTACTCAAATCATATTTATATAACTAAAACTGCTCAAATATATTAGAATTGATGATTAAGGCGAATGACAAAGTAGTATCATAAAAATTCTTATTTAGTTATTTTATTAACTTATATAACCAAAGAAATAGTGGATTGTAGATATATTATGATATATTAACAATCATTATAAATAAAATTTATAACAACAAAACATCACATTTAATTTATTTTTTTATTTTCATAAAAACAATAATATATATTGTAGTTTTACTGAAAATGTCTACTTTATTAATTACTTACTGTGATACCATACAAACTATTGCATTTAATCGCCCATTAAAACGTAATGCCATATCCCGACAGGTACTGAACATGTAAGGTTTGTTTAAAAAATATATTTTATGAAATTATCTTTTTTAGTGCTATACTGAAATAGTTCAAGCATTAGATGAAGGAAAAAATAATGAATCTGTATCGGTTACTTTGTTAACTGGTGTAGGTAAATTCTATAGCAGTGGTACAGATTTAACAGATGAATATGCCGATAGAGAACTAAGTTTAACTGCAACGTAGTATATATTTTAAACTTAATAATTATTAATAACTTAACTTTCACTTTATTTAATTAATTAATTATCTGTTTGAATTTTACAGCAATTTAGTCAAAGCATTTATAGATTATCCAAAATTATTAGTTGCATTAGTTAATGGTCCAGCAATCGGAATTGCTTGTACAACCTTAGGACTTTGTGACCTTGTCTTCGCTTATAAAACAGTGTGTTTTTTCAATTAAGTCACTTAAATTTAAATTTATGAAATATTATTAGATTTCTTAATTTTTAGGCAACTTTTACATGTCCCTTTCATAGGCTAGGTTTGACTGCAGAGGGTTGTTCAACTATTACATTTCCATTAATTATGGGAAAATTAAGAGTAATTATAAATATCTGCTATACATACAAACCCAATATTCATAAAAATGCAACATAATTTTAGGCTACTGAGTTTTTATACTCTGGTAGGACAATAACTGCAAGAGAAGCTGTAGAATATGGATTAGTTAACGAAATTATTGAAGATGGACCAATAGGACTAGATAATTTAATTAAAAGACTAACTTCTCAAATAGCCAAGCATAAATTGGTAAAACTAAATTATGTTTACATGTAATTTATCCATTTTGAATGAAATAGTTTATTTATCAAAAAAGTTTTTATATCATTTCATTTATGAATCAATTATTTTCATTTTAAAGCAGACTTTTTTAACAGTAATTTATGAAAGGAAATATAAGTTGTCTAAACATATAGGATGTAGGAAGTATCAATAATTTTAAAATTTCTGTAGTACAGCATAAAGACATAAAGTGAAATTTAAAGTTTGCTATAAATTAGTGCTCAAATTTAAAATTATTAAGTTCTTCATTGTTATATTAACCAAATAAAAATTTTGTTTTATCCATTTATATCAATTAGTTTTGTTATTAAATTTATCAAGTTGCGGGACTGATTATATCCTAGTTACAGCACATTACTGTTTTAAGCCAATTAATAAAAATTTGTATTGGTTCTTATGTATTCGGAATAACATAAAAAATTTGTACATCCATTTCTTAATCATAATATTTATTAAAACATTTAATTGATACATTTCCTCTAGTCTTATATCAACTATATTTACCTGTAATAATAATTACTAACATAGTTTTGTTGTGAAATTGTACCCTACACAGCTTTTATATTGTTTTATTTCATTTTAAAATGAATATAATGAATCAATTTTTTCTAAGAATTAAAAGCTATTTCTAAAAAATAAATGTCATAGTAGCTATTATATCAACTATTATGTTTTCACATGAGTTTTTTTTCAGCCAGTAATTTATACAAAGTCTATGATATTGCAAGGACTAATTAGTAAAAAAGAACTTCATGCAGCCAATAAAAGAGAATGTGAAAGACTGCAGGAAAGATTCAACTCGAATGATTTTCATCAATCTATCATTGATTTTATAAATAGAAAAGACATGAAAAATAAACTTTAAGTTATGATCTCAATTTAATATTTCATCACAATTAATGGATGGGTTTTTTATTTTACATCAGATTTTTCATACAAATATAATTTAAGTTAGTAATATTATACATCACAAATTTTATATTTAGTTTTAAAATGATTTTTATTATTATTTAAATTAAATTATGTTTAATTTACATGAAGAAATTTGTGATAATCTATTTTTTATTGTTTTTTTTTATAATTGTAGTAGAGTTTTTACATATTATTGTTGTTTATTGTATTATAATTTATTATACAGATATAATAAAATAAATATTGGTGATATGAAGTGCTATGAATCTTTAATCATTTATTGTTGATTGATGTAAATCTAATCCCTTTGTAAAAAAATTATCTAGTTTTATTTAATATTAAATTTATTTTTTAACTATATCCTAAGCAAAGTTATGACCAGGGCTATGAATTACATGCATTAAAACACCATTAAATAATCATGTACATTTGCACTAAAAAATATGCCCATAAAATTCTAATTTTAGCTTCTATGAGAAGCTGAGAAGGTATTAATTTTACTATGATGTGTTTTTTTTATTTTATTTTTTTGTCTGAACGCTCAATCTCAATTTGCTGGACCGATTTTGATGAACAATACGTCAAAAAATCACAAATCGTATTTAGTTGAAGACATTACCCTCAAAAATTGAAAAAATTTCACTCATTCCCCGTAAATGGGGGAAATCCCCCAAAAAATTACAAAATTAAAAATCGCTAATTTTCGACATTTTTTCACTTTTTTTTCATTTGACATACCTTTTTTTTAAATATCTATTTCATACTAAATTTAGGTCTAATAATTATGATGTTGAGTATGTGAGTGAGTAACAAAAGACTTAACATTAATAGCTCATTTTTTTTTCACAGCGTTCTTAGTTACTAAAGCTTAATCTATACTTAAAATTTTAAGAGCCTATCCTAAGTAGAAATCGAGATATATGAGTTCAAAAAAAATTTCACGAATGGTTTTGTGAAATATACACTAGCATTCTAGAACTTGGCCAGTCACACTGCTGTGCGCTCAAATACAAATTTTATATTTACTCAACTATTTAGTATATAAGCATGGTGAAGGATTATAAAATAATAAACAAATAAGACATATTTTCACAGTTACATAAACAATTTTTAAAGGTAGCAAGGGTTCAATCCTTTACTATAACATTTTTTTTTATATAATCAAATCAAATTAAGAATTTGGGAAGGGGGGTTGTTTTAAACTCCAAATGATCTACACCTATGTGCAAACACTTGAAAATTGCCTAAGGCTGCTCCAAATCGGTTGAGCAATCCAATTTTTTATAAGTTAAAAAATGATTAATATTTTTTACAAATGTATTACCTTAATAAATATATAAAACTAATAAAAATCATAAATAAAAATTGCGTGAAATATTACTTAAAAAATCATATATGTTATTTAAATAGCTTTACAGAGTAATTGATTTAGTATTGACCACGAAATTTCTCCTNCAATAAAAAAAAAAAACACTTCGGTGCAAATCTTTAGATAGTGTTTAATTTAAAAAAATTGGTGTATTATTCCAAAAGCTACATGATCTGCTAGTTCATTATTAATATCATAATTAAGATAAAGTATGTCAAATCAAAAAGGGATTATTAAAAAATATTATTTCTTATAAAAAAATAATGTTGATCCATACACTTTTAAATATGTCATAGCATTATAAAGTTAAAAATGTAAAAAATAAAATCGAGAATTTTCACATAATAATAGCATTTGGTAGCCATTTTCACCGTGAAGATAAAATAAAGTCCGAAATTTTTTTTT